GGCCGAGAACCAAGCACTCCGAAAGCTTGGGAAAATACCCAAGCATCTTCCAGGCGGAAATTCACGCCATCGAGAAGTGTATCCAGTTTAACATCGAGAGAAACTATCATAGACAAGAGATTATCATCATGTCCGATAGTCAAGCAGCCATCAAAGCGCTGAGTTCTTACGTAATCAGCTCAAAAATGGTATGGAGATGCCTAGAACAATTGAATGAGCTAGGCGAGAAAAATAGAGTTACTCTCACTTGGGTCCCGGGACATAACGAGGTACAGGGTAACGAGATTGCAGATAGTCTTGCAAGGAAAGGGGCTCAAACACCATTTGTAGGACCTGAGCCGTTCTGCGGTATCAGCAGTAACATAATATTAGAAGAGATTAAAAAAGAATTGGGTAGTAGAAGAACCGATAATTGGAACAATCTCTTGGGGCTGAGACAGGCCAAGATACTTCTGGGTGAATATAACCAAAAAAGATCGGAAGCCTGCATCTGACTGAGCAAGAACAGGCTACGTATTGTAACAGGGATCCTTACCGGGCACTGCCGACTAAAAGGACACCTAAGTAAACTGAGAGTAGTAGAGGATAGTGAGTGCAGATTCTGTGAGGAGGAGGACGAAACCTCCATTCACATCCTAACTGAATGTGTAGCACTCCAGAATCCAAGGGCACTATATCTAGGAGGATATCAAATAGAAAAGGGAGACTTACCTAACTTGAAGCCACTTTAAATCCTACACTTCCTTGAGAAAATAGGATTGGAAGGGTCGCTATAGGCATTGAGACATTTCCTTAGTGCAGTGGCGACAGAAGGGGGCACAATAGATCTTTTAGGTCGCAGTGTATTAACACCCCATTATCAACATAACATACATGCCAGAGGAATGACTATTGCTGATAGAATTTTTTTTTTTTTTTGATCACATAAAATATTTTAACCTTGCATTTATAGTACCAATAAAGATATTGTAAAGTAAATTAATAGTGAAGAAAAAATAAATAAAAGCTACAACTTAATGAAAAGAAGAACCAAGTACGATTAAAATGACAATTTCTAAAGAATCACCCTAATATTAGTTGCAATTGCCACAATTATTTATAATCACCATCAACATTATATTAACCTTTTCCATTTCCAAAGATAGTACCTGAATACGGAATACGGGGAAAGTAGGGGTATACAATAGACCCAAGTGGCCGCAGTGTTCTGGGCCAAATCTAACCCTACCTGCTTACAACCGATAAAGATAAAGATAACCTTTTAGATAGGCTTATTTTACTACTGTTCTGTCAACCAACATGATTCAGTCGCCCCTACGCCTATTTATTCTTATCTTTTCACTATAAGAACCATCTCTGAAGAATTCCTAGCATTCTATTTATTCTTGTCCCGTTGTCATATTCTTTTGACTCTTTATTAATTGCTTTTCTCCAATGTAATTATTAGTTACTTTAATCAATATTGTATATAAATTGCCAAAATTTACAATTATTACAAAAACACTTTATTCAATAAGCTCCTTAAAATTCTAACTAGAATGTTAGCGGTCCGTGATGTAATATATAAATTTTGAACAACCAACAAAAATCAGTTCTTACGACCTCTGGGGAAACGCCAAATTGCTTTGCGCCAGTACAGAACCGGTGCTACTAATTCTAATTTTTGTTTGAGAACAAATAGGTTGAGTGGGAATAACGAAAGTTTTGTCACGGTTGTAACTACGGCTTAACAGGAATTTATAAATAGTATTGCGGAACATCAACAAACTATGGAAGTTGAGATATTAACTTCCAGTTGGTCAGTCCGTAACTTTATAAACGGATTAGTACGTAAACTCGTATCGGTTAGGCGAGTCGAAATAAGTAGATGTAAAGTTTGATATTCCAATAAATTGTTACAATAGCTATATAATTATTATCAATATAAAATTTTCTGTTGAATTGAACTTTTTTCTAAATATTGTAGTCATTTAACTAAATAATGGGGCTATTATGGTCATATATTTAAATCAACTAAATCTTTAAATCAGACTGTTAAAGAATTTAAGTCAAAAATATGATTTTGGTCACGAGTTAAATATTTATATAGCTTATGCTAAATCTTTAGTTTTAAAGGTGCAGAAAGCTGGCTGTAAATGTTAAATTTGAGGTTATGGTTTGTTTAATTACATGTTAAATAAAAATTATAATATTAAAAATGGACTTATAACCGATATTTATTTACTTATTAGGGGAACAAGATGATAATAGGTACCTACCTAAAATAACAGAAATGGTACACATATTTTAAATTATAATACGAATCATTTTTACAGAAATAATATAAGAATTGAGAGAAGAATGTTAAGAGACCATGAAAATCCTTTTGAGATGCCTGATCTAAAATTTTTGAAAATGTTTCGTTTATCAAAAGAAATGATACGGATTAAAATCATTGATTGACTTCAAGTGAATTATAGGCATCCAAGGCGAAGGGATTCAATTCAAGTCAATATTTAAAATTTTTATAGACGATAAACTTCTTTGCTTATGGATCTGATCAAAGGACAATCAGCAATTCTTTATTTACTTGTATAAGTCAAACATCTATAAGTTCGGCCATTAATGCAGTAAGTCGTTTAATAACTCTTCACTTAGCACGAAACTGGTTTAAATTTCCTATAAATCTGGAAGAAAAAAATGCTATTCAAGAAGGATTTTATAGCAAGCGAGGAATCATCGGTGCCATCGATGGCACTCATTTTGAAATTATAGCTTCTCCTGGAACAGATCAAGAACACCAACGTCATTTATACATCAACAGAAAAGGATGACACTCTATTAATGTAATGTTAATTTGTGATTCATGATGCGGCTATCTGGCCAACATCTATTTTTTTAATCGAAAACAGTGGTTATGGTGTTGAACCATGGTAGTTAACTCTTTTTGAAAATGAATATGATGATACTCCAGAGGGCCAATATAATCGGGCTTTGAAAAGTTCTCGGAATGTAATGGAGTGCACAAATGGTATTCTGAAAACAAAATTTAGATGACTGTCCAAATTTTGTGTATTGCAATATCATCCTACAACGGCTGCATTCATTATATATTCTTGTGGGATATAACATAGTATGTCGAGAAAAGATAATATGGATATTGAAAATGAAGAATATTTAGAAGAAGTTGAAAATTATGAACAAGGAAATAATTTTGATAATATAGCAGCTCATCAAGGGCAAGCAGCAATAAATTTTTTTGAGAATGAGCCAGTTTTTTTATGGCATCCACCAATATTTCTTGGAGAACCATATTTTCTTTGAGTTGCTCTAATAAAGCTTCCGTTAGATTATTTAAAATTTTTGGGCGTTTTGATTTATTTTCCTCCGTTTTTGTAAAGGTCTCTTGATTCCTGATGTCTCAGGTATAACTTGGACATTGTTTTGTAAAAGAATTTCTCGTATTGTTGGTGTTTCAGGTACAATTGGTGGTTGGGCATTGTCTTCTAACACAATTTCTATATTTTCAATTTTGAAGTCTTCCAATAACAACTTTTACCCAAGCTTTAATTGCTCATTCCTCAAAACTAGTCAATGGATTTTTCACTTCTGGTCCTCCTCCCGTTTTATTTTTATTTACCAGATATTTTCGATATTTGAATCTAGTGCTATGTTTACAATCAGAGAATTTCTGAAATAATTAAAACGAAATAAAAATGTAAAGACAAAATATATAAAAATTTACTTGAATTCATTTATCTGTAGTTAATTGTGGACCCTTTGATTTTGAGTTTAATTTAATGGTCAATTCTTTTCACTTTTGTTTGATATAATTTTTGGGGTACAGTTGGATTAATGGTTCCAGTTCTAAATAGTTTGTCATTTTCTAAAAACTTTATGTAATCTTCATACTGCTCCACAGCAGTATTTGCTCCCCGTTGTCTTTTCGTTTTGGAAATGGCACTGTAATCAAGATATACAGGGTGAGTCGGGAGGAGCACACCAAACTCTAGGAGTATATTATACACGTGAAAATAATGTAAAAAACTCATATGTTCTTATCCGATTTTCATTTGTTTTCAAGTTATATTATGTACTATTAAAACTAAAGCAGTTACCTTTTTGTTGAGTAAAATAACCATTACTCGAATTTGAAGTTTTAAACAAATAAAAACCAAGTGTTTTTTAATAAATGTTCAACGTAAAATAGTTTATTTTATTAGATTACTAATGCTTCTCGTTATAAAATATTTTATTTCTCTATTTAGAATTAATAGACACTCAGCAACCAGATTTATTTATTCAAAATAATGTGAACGCATTGGAATTGTTAATGCCTGTTTGACATTAGATAATGCAAAAGGTCCATTTAAATCCCGCTATTCAATTACTGTATTCGTGGGTTTTGTAGAAAATTCAATTAAATGCTGCTCATCCGTCATTTATCCCATAATGATGGCTATAATGTAATGTGCATTAGTAGAGTGTCTATTAGAATAATTCGATTTCACTTATTTTTGGCGTATTTCAAAATAGAAGAAAATGTTTTCTATATTTTATGTATAGCTTTTTAGGCTTATTCGTGTTTCAGTTTTTTTTATTAACTGTAGTTTATTTACAGTAAGTTGTGTTGGTAAAGGCTAGTAAAATTAAAGGATAAAAATATTTTCAGGCTTTCAAGCATTTATTTATCGTCCATGGTTTAAAGTGTTTCTCATGAAGAATATCAAGTCAAAACATACAACAAAGATGGTTTAAGGGTTTAAAATAAAACCAAAATTGACATTTATATAAAGTATTTTTTAATATTTTTTTTCTATTTTGTTTTGTTTTGTTTCATTATTTTTAATGTATAATAATTATTTGTAATAGTGCACTAAAACTAATAATTATAGCTTTGCAAAATAAAGAGAAGTCTAATTTATTTCTCATTTTGTTATATGTTATATAACAATTTGAAATTTAGCAATAATACTGTCGTTGTCTTCCTTTTTTATTATTATAATTCTTTTTTTTTTCAGCCAAACCACCACCAATAGTAACGTGGTATCGAGAAGATAGCTCCAGTGAAAGCCTCATGTTAGATGAACGAGAGAGGATACAGACGCGCATACCTTTGAGTAATGTGAGCACAACAATGGGAACAGGTAGCTCGACTTTTGTACGAAATGAGCTGAGGGTATCAGGGTTGGGAAGAAATGATGTTGGAAAGGTGCTGGTCTGCCAAGCGAATAATAATCCAAAAACACAAGCCCTAACTGCTTCGTTGACCATTGATATGAACTGTAAGTAAAACAGAACTATGAATATTATAATAAAATACTATTTTCCTATTTGAAAGACAATTAAAAACCGATAAGATTTTGTAAAATGCCGTAAATAATTTTAAAATAGTTTGATAAAGCCAACCCTTTCGCCGGGTGTTAAAAAAATATCCCTAATGCCGTAGAAGCAGATTCTTCTATAAGTATCCAAAAATTAACTGTCCAGTTTGTCCAAAATCGACAGTCTATATAAAATGGTGAGAGAGCAATAATTACGTCCTGAAAACTCTTCGCGAAAGTTGGATCCTTTCGAACTAGGTCATGGTTTGACATAGAAACGATGCAAAGGATCCCGAAATTTTTATATTGATATTGGGTGCTGTCAGAATTTGTTCAAATTTTAGTATGTTACTTTTTAGGTAATTATGGCAACTTTTTTATGAACCTCAAGTTTGCAGCTCTACAGGGAGAGCTGTTAAAACTAAGGAGTGCAGAAGCAATATTGTTAATAAGTTAATAAGTTATTCATGTGTGTGTTATTACATGTGTTACACTTGTAAATAGTTTGTTATTTAGGTGCATTTTCATGTATTTCCATATTTAAAACATGACTTCCGATCACTTATTTGTTATTTTAAATACTAGATAATATTTATTAATAATACAGGGTGTGACAAAAAAACATAAATAATATCTTATACAAAAGCATAACAGTTTCTTTACATAGATTTTTAGACTTCCCAATAAATTATAAATCAATGTAAAATAAAAAAGAAACCTCTTTTATTACATACATTAAATATTTTCACACCATCCAAATCTTACTCATCGTTCAGCAAAGTCTAAAATAGTTCGTAATATAACAATTCAAGGGTACTTTATATAAGTTTTGAATCATTGGTATTTCAGGTACCACAAAGCACTTGAAATATGAGCACCCATGTCTATAGTTCTTGAATCAGTCGTACATGTACAGTAATATCTGGTAAGAGGATTCTCTTAAAATTCTTTAAACCTATAACTAACTATAACTAACATGTGCAAATCACAAATTTCGAATATATTGAAAAAAAACAAAGGCTACATAGTAAGTTTCCTAAAAAAAATAAACTACCTACTATTAAAAATAATAACCAACTTTTAAAAATCTAAATATTTTAAAAACCTGATTTTTAGTTTTTTTCTACTCCATCTAATCAATAAATAATAGTATAATTCGAGAATTGTTGTTGAGGACTTACTTTCTCGTGAGGCACTGTACAAATACTCACATTTAAAAAAAAAATTCTTAAAAATTTGCAAGGTAAGGTATAGTTAAAAGTTCAGTATTAGATAAATAAGGACTTCAACTATTAGAAAAAAATTAATTTTAGTCATAATCTAATAACTTTTTTTTTCCATTTGAGGCGAGAAGTGTGGCGAAAGGACCTCCTTAATTAATCTAACACTAGTTAGCCTTTTTGCTCATAGAACTTTTTGTAATTATTCTGATTGATAAACAGAGAAATAAAAAAAGATGTCATATGTTTATAAAATAATCTAAATTAAGCTAAAAGTATGTAGTGGTATAAAAAGCTAAACAATAATAATTGGCCAGGAATAAATATATTATCAGTATTCATATCACAAAGATTTTTAATAAAGTAATACTGCAAAAACTGTATAAGGTTTTTTATGAGGTTTAAGTTTAGCTAAAATCTACTGAATCTACAAAAATAGAAATATATTTATGAGCAAAGTGATAATCTGGAATCTGTATTGTATATAAAAATCAGAAAGTGCTTTTTAATAAGAATATGTCTCCGTAATTTATTCAAGTCAGAGTGAGTAGAATTATTTCTACATGTAAGTATGCTTAGAACCGGATTTGGTTAGTTAAAAAGAGCTATGATTGTAATACGAGCAGAACTGAATTCGTTTCAAGACTTTCTACAATATTATAGGTATACCAAGTTTTTCGTTAAATGTATTTTTATAATTCTTAGTTGTTTATGTAGCTCTATCACACCCTGTATTACTTATAAAAATTATCTAGCTAAAATGAAATAAAAAATGGCCAGAAGTCACATTCTAACTATGGCAATACATGAAAATGCACCAAATTTCAATAACTAATATTCATAATTTTTTTGAACACGCTGTATGATTTATTTTGCAAAGTAAGATATATTTTAAAATATTAATTTTGTACTCCTTACTTTTGACTCCTTCTAATAGCTTACCCTGTAAGGCTGCAAACTTGAGATCCTTTAGAAAATTGCCTTTAAAGACCTGAAAAATAACATGCTGAAATTTAACCAAATTCTGACAGTACCCAAAATCAATGTGATCAGTTTTCTTTATGGACGTTGCTGAATTTTCTCAAAATGGCATGATAAACTTCCATGCTTTTAGTTTAAACACATCAACATGTATGTTAAAGTTATCGGGTAACATTTAATTGGACCATTTTTATTTTCAAAAGGTTTTCTGTAGTACTTTATTTGGAATTTCTTTAAAACAATTTACCAAAACTTTTAGAAAATCTACCTTTGGCAAATACGATATGATAAAAATCTGAATTTTTTACATAAAATAACTAAACTTTGGCATTCCTTTTGGTATACTTAAGAAATAAGAAATAACTAAAAATAAAATCTATCCTACCGTGTGGAGGTGAGATGGACCATACTGGGTAGGAGAGATGGACCATTTTATTTTTCTTTCTTTTTACGAGCTACATCGATGCCACACTTCTGGCAAAGGTTACAAAAACTTGTGCAGTTGTCATGATACCAGCATTTACAAAAAAATTCATTGTAACCATTCTTCTCTCTTTTTTGTTAATCGGAAGTCTTCACTGCAGCATACACATTTAGTGTAACATCGCCTGCTTCATCATCAGAAGATGAAGATCCCCTCGACTGATTTTTTCTTTTTACCGCTTTTGTTGCCGGATTAGGACCAGCTTTGTTCTTGCACTGTGTCTCTTTTTTCCCTTTAATAAATTCTGGTGAGGTAATATCTCCAGATATTTTTTTACGAATTCTTTTTATAGCGGCAGTTACGACGTGTACAGGGTAATTTTCATCAAGTGCTTTTTCGGTAGTAATGTCTTCAGTAGCTGTGGTTTTGTTAGGGGTGACGGTTTTTTGGTTTTGAGTGCCTGAGGAACCTAGTTGGGAAGATTCAGGTCTTCTCTGAACTAGTTCATTCTACAATGGATTTTCTGTAGAACGATCAGGATTTACAGCCAAAAATGCATAGTCGGGTATAACCAAGGGATTAAAAGGTAGTATTCCCGTTTTCTCCAAGCTTCACCGAGTAACTTTCCAAAATACAATCTTTTTAAAATTCTTTTTGGGTTATTCCTTAACATATGTTTAAAAGCATTATAATAGTTTCCCTTTAGAGATTTGAAAGAAGCTCGATCTAGTGGCTGTATGTAATGTGTGGTATGTGAGGGCAAACAAAACAAAATTATATCGTTTTCCTCGGCGAATTCTAGTAATTGAAGGTTAGTAGTATGGGATGTATGTCCGTCCAATATTAGCAGTGTCTTACCATGAGGTTTTGTTGGTAGGAAATAAACTTTTAACCAATCCATAAATATTTCACCATTCACATAAGTTGATTTTTCAGACATTTTAACTTATTAACCTGGTAGCATGCCATTAAGCCAATCTTCTTTTTTATGTTTTCCCTTGAAAATGCAGTAAGGAGGTAAAAAGCTTCTTTCTTCATTACAGCATCCTATGACGCTTATAGTCTTTCCTTTTTTGCCAGGACTGATACTTGGAACACTTTTAGAGCCTTTTTCGGCCAAAACTTTTCCAGCTCTAGTGTTCAGCTATAAACCTGTTTCGTCCGTATTAAATATATGCCCAGATTTGTCGAAAAGGCTGTGTCCAGTCAAAACCTTCTCAAGGTCCGCGAAATGGATAACAACGATTTCTCTCGACATTCCAACTAATCGTGCTATCGAAGTGTGTTTAGCTTTTCTGATAAAAATATCAGGCTTTCGGCGCAAAAACAACTCCAGCCATTTCTTGCCAGCTTCACCTGTAAAACGATAATCGAGTATTAGAGACACCAATATTTTAAAATTGTTTAATATTACCATCTTATTCGTTGAATCTGTTTGGTATCTTATGTATAATTACCACTTTTAGCAACAAAAAACCGTTTAGACTTACTAGATGTGACAAAATTCACAATATATGATCTGTAGTTATAATTTTCACCAAGCTAAAATTTGCTTATGTTCAAAATCTCTCACCTAAATACGTAAACACGAGCACTTGTTACTGTCTCAAGGTGAACTAATGAAAAGGCATCACTTGCACCGGATGAGCGTAGCGGTGTGGCCGGACCGTGCAAAATATTTCCGGTGGTCCGTCTATCCTCCTGGTCCATCTCTTCTACCTTTACCCTACGTAGTTCATGAATGATGGCCCATATTTTAGTCTAGTTATTTAATGACATCTAAACAGGAACTTCGAAAAACGTTGGAATAGAGTATCAATGACTAGGTCTTTACGACCTAAATCCATTAGGTTTTGTTTGTACTATATTTAAAAACTTTAGTCTATACAAATTCAATTGATAAATGAAAAATTTTGTTAGAAATGGTTAATTTTCGTTTTCGCGAAATAAGTAGTCATGTTGAGGTACAGTCAAGTGTCCAACATTCTTCAATTCTTAGAGCTGTGAAATACATGAGATTAGAAGTAGCCTTTGTGAAGCGGCATTCAAAATTATTCAATAAAAAAGATTTTAAACAAAAATATTTTTTTAGAAAAGTACATTTTCTAGATAGAGATACCTTTTGTTTTTTTCTTAGTATAAGCTGTAAAAAATTATATTGGTCTGCCTTTTTTATACAAGGTCTAAAAAATTTGCATTTTTTTTTTTGGTAAAACTAAACATGCCAAATATGTTTAAGAGGGTCTATTTTGTAGAGACTTAACTTATATCTATCATGTTAAAAAATTTATAGATTATTTTAAATATTTTAAAAATTATATACAAAAACTATTTCCAGGGGTATCCTTTATGGGTCCGTATTCCTCTGTATGGAAAGGGGCGTATACAAAAATGTCATAATATTCTTATGTGTTCTAAATCAAAAAAGTAGTTCGAATATTCTGGGACACCCTGTACAAAAAAATGTTCTGTGAATATTAAGATATATTAAATTCCATTTTATTCAGCTACTTTCATTTTTTCATGCATGGAATATTCTTCCACGTTCATGACATGTTTGAATTTTTCCAGTCGGTCCATTGGATGTAAAAATTTTGGGATCCAATCAACCCTTGTCAGCTGGAAGACGCTACGATTTACTATGTCAAAGTAGCGGGTCCCGACCTCCTGCCAGCATTACATGGTGGAAAAGCGGGCAAAGATTCGAGAGGACGAATCACACGGTAAGGATATATACCCAGAAATTTGCGATTTTCCTTTGTTACACGCCGATAACGTTGTGAATCAATATATGGTATTTTAGGTAGAGTCGTGGCAAAGTGGGGTCGAAACGTAAAAATTTGTGCAGTTTAAAGAACAAATTTAAAAGTCCAGGCACGCTACCTGTCAGTTTTTGAAATCATGTCGGTCGCATTCTAATAAAAAGTTACAATTGCTGAAACTCAATTAACGCAACCCTATGGTTGCTTTGTTCTTTGTGGTATGCTAAAGTTTTATTTTATATTTTTAAATAGAACGACTGGACAATTAGTGTGTTTACATTTTCTAGTTCAGTTTGTTTTCTCATGCTCTACTATTTATTATATTAGTTATACTTCTTTTCTAAGGAATTTTAGGGAAAAAAATAATTATTAATAAAAATCCATTTAATAAAAATAAATATACTCGATTTTATAACAACTAATATTATATACAAGCTATAAGTTATGGGTAATACTATTAATATTAAATAATATTAAATTAACGAACAAACTTTTATTTCTTACTTTTACTAATATCCATCGAAGAATGAATATTTTATTAAAGTAATACCTGTAACTAAATTCTTAGTAATAATATCAGTGATTCATTATATTCAATTTTTGTTGCAATAAAAATAAGTATTTTTTTTTTTATTTGAAGAAAAGTCGCATCAACCACAAAGGTTATTAGCGAATTGTAAGATTACAAATTGGTGTAGTACATACAAAAGAAAGATGACAATATATAAGAATAACTAAATAGAATTTAGTATGTTGATGGATTTCAAAAATCTTTTTAAACTGTTTATATCGCACGCAGAACCTAGAATGTTAGATATTGGACCAGCTGGGAGGTTTGATTCAATACGTTGAGGTGCAAGAAAAGGACAGTCTACGAGTATATGTTTTACCGTCAACTTGATGTCGCAGTGGCTACATTTTGGTTCTATTTTTGAGCTAAATAAATAACTGTGTGTTAGTCGTGTATGACCCAAACGTAGCCTGGTTAGTAAAATTTGATCACTACGGTTTCGCGGGAGTGATGACCATGGGTTTCACATTATTTTTAATTTCACTGAGTTTAGAAGAACAAGACGACCACTTAGATTCCCACGCACTGAACACTTTTGCTTTAATGAACGATTTTACGTCACTACTCAATAATAATTGAACCGGTATGGCACTTTCACTATTCACAGCTTCTTTGGCCAGTTTGTCTGCTTGCTCGTTCCCGCTTATTCCTATGTGAGATGGTATCCAGATAAATACGATGTCTTTTCCCCTTAGCTGAGCAGAGTAGAGTTCCTCTTTTATTTTGCTGATCAAGGGGTTGTTGGAAAAGATGCGTTGTAAGGCGAATATAGAGCTAAGAGAGTCTGAGAGAACCACAAAGTTTTGAGAAGTTGAGGAATTAGCAAATATTAATGCTTGGTACAGAGCGAACAGCTCTGCTGAAAAAATAGAAGATTCTGAAGGAAGCTTGTACATAGTACTAGATGTGGGTGTACTGACAGCAGCTCCTGTTCTTCCATCTAGCTTTGAGGCGTCAGTAAAAATTTGTAAGTACCCATCGAATTTGCAGAGGATATTGCTAAGACTTGTTTTGATAAGGTGAGTATTCGTTGAGTGTTTGTCAAATGCGGTAAGCGAGGTAAGACATCTGGGATTTTTTATTTGCCAAGGAGGTGTAAACTGAGGGTGATTTGGTAGGCATTCAGGAATAGTGTAGTTGATTTTTTCTTGGTAGCTTCTTATTCTGGCATAGAAAGGTTTGGTGGTTCTAGGATGTTCCGAGAATAGAGTGTGAAATCTCTGGGAAAAACAGTTACCGACTGTGGGATTTGTAGGAGAGGACCTAATCTTCGTTGCATAGGCCAGGCTTAAATTTAGTCTTCTGTTCTCCAAGGAAGGTTCACCGACATCGCAGTATATACTGTCAACTGGGGTTGTACGGAATGCTCCTGTGATTATTCGAAGTGCTGTGTTGTGGATAGTGTTCAGAGGTGCAGTTAAAGTTTTAGACGCAGATGTATAGATGATCGAACCGTAGTCCAATCTTGAGCGTATTAATGTTCGGTATAAAGTAAGTAGAGTCTGACGATCGGCACCCCAGGTTCGATTTGAAAGCATTTTTAGAAGATTGAGTCTTTTGTGGCAGGATAAGATCAGATTTTTAATGTGAAGATTCCATGTTAAAGATGAGTCAAAGGTCATTCCCAGAAACTTTATGGATGGTTCGGATTTTAGATTTTTATTGTGAAGTGTTAATTCAGGTGTGACAGCAACTTCTCTTTTAGAAAATAGGATGTAACGGGTTTTAGCGGTAGAAAAGGTAAAGCCAGTTTGCTGTGACCAAATCTCCAGTTGTTCAATAAATTGTTGGGTATTTGAAAAAATGTTGTTTATATTCTTGCCCTTGCAAAATACGACTAAGTCATCTGCATATAAACGTGCTTTGAGTGGTGGTTTAAGGCCTTTTAGTATATCATTAATAGCTATTATGAAGAGAGTCGGGCTTAATGTGGAACCTTGAGGAAGACCGCTTTCCAGTATCATTTCATTGGAAAAAGTGGCGTTGGTTTTCACTTTAAAAGATCTATTTGTCAAAAAGTTTTTAACGAAGATGAGACAGTTGCCTTGTATATTCCAGCTGTGTAGTTTCTTAATTATGTAGTCGTGCCACGCAGTGTCAAAAGCTCGGTTAATGTCAATAAAGAGAGCTAAACATTTACCCTTTAGTGCAAATGATTCATGGATTTCGCTTTCTAAATCTATGATGTTATCTAGTGTGCTGCGTTGTTGTCTAAATCCATTTTGTTCTGGTATAATCAGGTTGCGTTTCTCTAATGTCCATAGCAACCTTTTATTAATAATTTTTTCCATAAATTTGCACATTGCGGATGTTAGCGAAATTGGCCGATATGATTCTGGATTGGTTTTTGGACATTGGGTTTTTAGTATAGGGATTACTGTAGATTCATGCCACTTTTTGGGAAAAACATGTTGGCACCAGATAACGTTAAATAATCGAAGAAGGTATTCATGGGCTCTGGTGGGTAAGTGTTGGAGGAAACTAGCTGGTATATCGTCTGGTCCAGGGGAAGTATCACGTAAACTAAATAGTACTTCTTCATATTCTGCTGATGAAAGAGGTAGATTTAATGGGTTGTCATCGATAGAAGTAATTGGAATAATCTTATTCTCTTCCAATTGTTTATACTGCATAAAAGATTCATTAGAACTATTGATGCTGGAACGTATTTGATAAGTTTGCGCTAATGTCGAGACTATTTCCGCATTGGTAGTGAAAGTATTTCCATCTACTACAAGTCTTTTTATATTGATGTTGGTATTCACACCAGATATTCGTCGAACCTTCTGCCACACTTCTGTCATAGGGGTATCAGAGTTTAAAGTTGATACATACTCAATCCACGAACTTCGTTTGGCGCATTTTGTGGTGTATCGAGCTTTTGCACGTAGTCTTGAGAATTCTATTTTATTTTCCACAGTTTTATGGCGTTTATATCTGTTAAAGGCTTTTTTACTAGCTTCTGTAGCTGATTTGCATTCATGTGTCCACCATGGAACAGGGTTATGTTTCTTGGGATATGAAGTTTTCCCAATTGATATTTCGGCAGCTTGTTTAATGACATTTTCAAAAATCTCAAGTGAGACATCTATATCGGCTGATAGTTTGCAGTAGATCATCTTATCTTCAACTATTTTGTGAAATAGGTTCCAGTCGGCCTTTTTTATGTTCCACTTTGGGCAGAAAAAAATGTTGTTTTGGTTCCTTTTGTTATTGGTTAGGATAATAGGGTGATGGTCACTGTTATAATTATAATCTAACACATCCCAGGTAAATGATGGAATCAGCGAAGGATCACAGATTGTAAGGTCAATACAAGATGATTCACCAGTCTGTATATTAAATCTAGTAGGTCTACCATCGTTTAGAATGGAAAGGTTGAAATCGTTTGTTACTTCTTCTAGAATTCGACCTTTGCGATTTACACTAGTGGAACCTTACAAAAAATTGTGTCCATTAAAGTCTCCAAGGATAACTCTAGGCTGAGGTAATTGCTCTAGTAGATCGACTAGCTCTTGTTTTTCAAGATCCATTCCTGGTGAAAGGTATATATTGCAAATATAAAGGTTTGATTGATTGTCCGATCCGGTAGTTTTAATCGCAATAGCTTCGAGGTTAGTTTGTAGCGGAAATTCTTCAGCGTCAAGGGTATTTTTGACGAAAATAGCTACACCACCACTAGCTTTAATAAGATTGTTACGATTTTTGCAGAAACTATAATACTGTTTTAAGGCTTGAATATTATTGATTTTAAAATTGGTTTCCTGGAGACATATAATGTCTGATTGATAATTGGACAGAATAGATTGGAGCATTGGAAGGTTGTTGAAGAAACCGTTAATGTTCCATTGTAATATGGACGAAGATGTCATTGTTTGTGAGAGTAGATGTGAGTTGAAACTTTGACTAAAATAGACTTCTACTATAAAAAGAAAGAGATAAGAAAAAAAGAAAAGAGTTAGTGGGAGGATTCTTGAGAACAGTCGCTCTCTGCTTCGGAGCTTTCCAGGTCAGGCATAGTCGTCTGAAGGTGCTTGAGTATTTTCTTTCTTAGGTTTGTGCATCTAGTTTTAATACTTCTGTGTTTGAAATAAGGATGGATTTTTGTTAACATGTCTACTAGAGCAACAAGATCTTTGGTGTAGTTCAGTGTTATGCTGACAGGTTCTGTTGATCCGTAGGTGTTCTCAAAAAGGTCGGATATTTGTTCAAAGTCAAGTACAAATGGAGGACTCTGTTCTGAAATCACAGTTCTGAGTGGTTCCATAAGAACCACGGTTGGTGTGTCTTGTTTATTCTTTGGTTTCTTGGATGGTACGGTTTGAAGGGGTTTAATAAAAGGATCCACTAATGTGCCTGCTGTATTATCTGATATGTCGGGAGGAGGAGT